AGATCTAGCAACGTTTAACAAATGTTGATGCTTGCGCTCAACAACAGAATTTTGTTGAGGAGTGTAAGCACAGGAAAAATAGTGCATCATACCATGTTCTTTAATAAGATCTGTAAAAGCTAATTCAGGTGCATTGTCTGATCTAATTGCTTTTATTTTTGATTCATATTGAGTAGCAATGAACATAATGAAAGTAGGAAAAACAGTAGAAACTTCTCTATTATTTCTCATCATATAGACCCAAGTGGTTCTTGTACAATCATCAACAAGAGTTAAAAAATATCTAAATCCTTCAACAGACTCAATACTAAAAGGACCCCAAACATCAAGATGAACAAGATCAAAGGTTTACTAGCTAGATTATTATGAGAAATATATGCTAATCTCTTTTGTTTAGCTAAGGGACAGACTGAACAATGAAAATCATGACAATGTAAAGACTTTAAAGCAGGTATGACACTAACACATTTCTGTAAAGCAAGAGGAGAAGGATGCCCAAGCCTTTGGTGACAAAGAAGACCATCAGCAATAACAGAGCCAGAAAAAGAACAAGCGGCAGGTGTTGTGAAGAGAGGGTTTTATTCTCAGTCTCAAGAATGTATAGATTGTTATATAGCTTACCCCTCCCAATCATCAAGCCCTGAGAAAGTTCCTGGATAAAGCAACAAGTAGGAAAGAAATGAGCAGAGCAAGATAAAGTTTTAACTAAACAGCTTACACTAATCAGATTAAACTTGAAATCAGGAACATGCAAAACATTATGCATGATGATAGTAGAAGTGATGCATATGGTACCTGTGTGTGTGATAGAAACCCTAGTACTGTTTGGTAAAGTGACAGTGACACTAGACACATGTATTAATTCCCTAAACATTGCTAAATCTGAGCAAACATGACTAGAAGCACCACTATCTATTATCCAAGCATCAGCAAGTAAAAAATTTTCTAAAGAAGAAAGGGTATGATTTTGAAAAGTAAGATTGTTATTTTCGTATTTAAGGCTATCAGAAGGAAATGGAAATGTACCAGATGTAGAAATTTGAGCCATCAAGCCAGGTTCTGTTATTGTAGTAATAGGAGCAGATGTGCTAAGAGATGGAACTTCAGGCTCTTGAATCTTAACAGAAGCATTGAACTGAGAAACGAAACTCTGAATTTGATCTTGTGTCAAGTTTTGAAGACTGAGATTATTACCACCAGAAGTAACCTGAGGCTGCATAGGCATATAAGGTCCAGTCTCTGAATATCCATGAGCACTTGCATAAGCATTAGCATTCTGCATTGTATTTGCATAGGGAACCATCTGCATTGGAGAAGTTAATTGCATCTGAGCAACCATAGGTTATTGTTGCATCCTAGGCTGAAGCTGAGGAACTTGCATCCGTGGTTGAAACTGAACTTGATTGTTGTTCCTTTACGGTGCATTGATCTTATAGCCTGGAGGATACCCATGTATCTTGAAACACTTCTGTACAGTATGCCCTGTCTTCCCATAATTAGTGCAAATAGGTTTTTGAATTGGTCTTCCTGTATTATATGCTTCAATGTACACATAGTCTGAATTCTCCATCACAGGAGCAGTAGCTTGAAAAGCAACATTATCAACCCGAGACGATGGCCTTATGCTCTTCTGTCTTTCATCCTGAGTCACTATATTAAAAGCCTCTTCCATTGTAGGAATAGGTTTCAGCATCAAAATGTGACGGCGTGTTTGTTCGTAGCCTTCATTCAATCCCATAAGGAACTTAGTTACACGACTTCGCTGTTGTAGTTTCTCCCACTTAACAGCTGCATCACATTCACATCTTCCACATGTGGATACTGGTACTTCAACAAAATTCTTATACTCTTCCCATAAGGTAAGCAATGTTGTATAGTAAGTTGAAATATCCATTGAACCTTGCTCTAGTTTACTTAATTTCTGTTCTATATCAAACACTCTGGGAGCATCATCTTGCTTAAACCTAGTAAGTAGATTCTTCCATATACCCTCAGCAGTAGATATGAAAAGTAAGCTTTGGCCAATCTTTTTATCAACCGAGTTCATCAACTAAGTTGCCACAACATCGTTACATCTAGACCAAGCACAATAATCTCTATGATCTATAGGAGGTCTAACAATAGAACCATCTATAAATCCTAGCTTATTACGCACATTCAAAGCCATCCACATAGATCTTCGCCAAGCATGAAAATCAGAAGCTGTAGCTAATCGATCAGAAACAAGAACCAAACCTGCGTGATCATTGTTGTGCAGATGATAAGGATTCTCATACTGATCCATTTGATATCGAGTATTTTCAGCAATCGGCGGTGGTTGTGGAGGTAGATCCGTCGGATACAATGGTCGAACACAAGATCCCATTCTCAGTGTAAGAAATAGGAAATCACAAAGAAATGCGTGACGAAATTGATAAAGAAAAAGAAAGAATCGTCAACACAAAACTTCAAATTAGCTCCAATGGAAGCTCCGATAACGTTGATTATCACCGGAAAAGACGAGAAAATAGATGCGGAAGCTCAAGAAAACGCTCTGATACCATATTAACTCCGGTGAATCGGAGGTACAAGAGCTAAACGAAGAAGATGAATAACAAACTTTCTATTAATCTCATAATTGTTTGTTACAAACGTTAAACCAAAACAGAGTTACATTTCAACTTATATATACACAAATTAATCACAGTTAACCGAAGTTAACCAAAGACATTGAACCAACACTAAACCAGCATGTATCAAAATAAAATCAAAAACAATTTCAAGTCCACGTTCCCTTCAAATTCAAAACTTCATTATTGCTTAAGAAACATCAACAAATTAGGTAACGAATAAGAAAACCAACACTGTTTTCAATCAACTTCCATACTCCCAATTAGAATCCAAAACGAGAAGAAACAGCTTCCATAAACACTCATAGCAACCTCTGATTCCTCATGATGAAAGAATTTTACGATCTCACCAAGACTAATCAAAAATTCCGGAATCTTATTCTTCACCTTCTATGGAATCAATACCTACGGTTTCTCAAATCAATTGAAAGAAGCAGCAGATCTACGGCTAAAACCTAGGATTTCAGATCAATTACCAACAAAATCAAACTTCTTTAGAAAGGATTCTTCTCAACAAGACCAAACCTTTCTTTATAGTTTGAAAACGCCCAACACTTCTTTAGAAAGAGCTTTAGACTAAGATGAGAGACTCCACTCACTGTTCAAATCCGAGAACACATAGCTTGAAATCTCAATCACGCGAGCTCACCACACAGAGGTGTCATTCGACGAGGAGAAGCGGCGACGAGGAGAAGCGGCGACGACATCGACGGCTAGGGTTTTGAGATGAGAGGAGAAGGTATTAAAGCGAAGAGAGGACAGAGAGAGAAGGTATTAAAGCGAAGAGAGGAATCGAAGAAGAAACGAAGAGGAAGAGGAATCAAAGATATACTACCAAATTAATGAGGAAACGAAGAGGAATTGAAGAGAAGAATCGAGGAGGAAAACGAATCAAAGAGAGGAATTGAAGAGAGAAATCGAAGAAGAAACGAAGAGAGGAATCGAAGACTAAAGACTAAAGTGTTTCAGATTCGAGAAATGTGACTTTTCGTTGGTAGTAATAAAAGAATAGGAGTCGCAAACTCATCCCAACTTGGTCGCAACCAAAAAAACACGAGGGATAATAGCCCGCCTAATCGAAAACCCTAAATTTTGGTAAAAGTCGAAAACGGTCCCAAATCGGTCGCAAACGGGTTGCACAAGTTGTCGCAAAAGTCGTCGCAAGTTAGTCACAAACAAGAACAAGAACAAATGTTGTGGCAGAACGGTCGCAAAATACGTAACAAAGTTGTCACTAAAGAGTAGCACATTAGTTGTAAAATTAGACAGTGGCAAAGTAATCGCAAAGAGATACACTTTTGCGACGTTCGTGTATGAGTCACAAATCAACATTTAAGATTTTTGAACTTTAAGATCTAAATACATTGATATAAGGATTATGTAACACTCCATAGTCCATTTGTGAAGTAAATCATTCATTTTAAGAGGCAAAACAATGATTTGGTATGTTTATTTTCAAACATACTTAGATTAAGATTAAAACTATATGTAACATCTTCCACATGATAGGTTTTTACAAAGATTAAGTTGTAAACATGTAAAATTAAAACATTAACAAGTAATCTTTCAATGTATTAGTTCAAATCAATGCAAAATATAGTTACTTAACATATTAAACATTCTATTTTATACAATTTCAATTTTAAAACAGAACGAGTCTCTAAAGAGTACCAGAACGGTCGCAAAATACGTAACAAAGTCGTCACAAACGAGTAGCACATTAGTTGTAACATTAGACAGTGGCAAAGTAATCGCAAAGAGATACGCTTTTGCGACGTTCGCGTATGAGTCACAAATCAATATTTATGATTTGTGAACTTTAAGATATAAATACAATGGTATAAGGATTATATTACACTCCATAGTCCATTTGTGAAGTTTATCATTCATTTTAAGAAACAAAACAATGATTTGGTAAGTTTATTTTCAAACTTACTTAGATTAAGATTAAAACTATATGGAACATCTTCCACAAGATAGGTTTTTACAAAGATTTAGTTATAAACATGTAAAATTCAAACATTAACAACTAATCTTTCAATGTATTAGTTAAAATCAATGCAAAATATGGTTACTTAACATATTAAACATTCGATTTGATCTAGTTACAATTTTTAAATCAGGACGAGTCTCCAAAGAGAGGCAAATTAGTTGTAAATTTACGACTCTTTTGTGACGATTAAGAAGTTTCATGAAACTTTTTTTTGGATTTCGACAGGGTTGCATAAGTATCGTAAAATGGTTGCTTATTTATGACCATTCTCTGACTAATCGTTGGCGTCGTAAATTGGCGACAAATATGCGTCTACTTTTAACGTAGTCGTTAAAAAGTCACTATCTGGTAACAATATCGTCGCAAATATTTGCGACCAACAAAAGAGTCACAAAAAGTAGTCGCAAAAGGCTTGTTTTCCTGTAGTTTAGTACGTATAAATGTTCGTTAAATTTCTTAGTTCTTCTTTGCATAAGGATTACAATTATTATTGCCAAGATCATTCCTACATTGTCTTTCGGTGTCATAGCACCTTAGCCCTTGTTCCGGAACAGTACTTCGGCAGCAATATAGTTTAAGTCTTGTTGAAAAGCATGGATCTTTCAAATATGGACCGGTAAGATCTTTGAAGAAATTACCTATATATATATATATATATATATAAAGAAAGCCATTTCAAAAGACTATTGAGTATTCAATTGTGATTATAGAGGTAGTGATGATGATAAACAATGAACGATAAACCATATAACTTACATTCATGAAGGCTAGCCATGGAAACAAGGATGATACAAAAGATAGCAAATTCGGAAGATAACATTGTCATTCTTCTCTCTAAAAAAATGTTTTGTTGTTTTATAGTAAAAAGCTTACATTTAAACGCACACAAACTATATATATATATATATAACTCTAAAAATAGTACATTATTTTCTAGGATAATCCGAAAAAATTGTAGTTAGATTTATTTGGCTAGTTTTATTTACTTTTTCCCCTCGAATTTTGATGGTTTTAGTTTCTTTTTTGAATATAATATAAACGGTTCTTTTTTTATTCGATTTAGAATCATATATATGAAAGTTGGCTAACTCTCTCCATCCTTTCGCCACATCAGCCAGGGAGAGAGTGAGATGTGTCACATCAGCATGCTACATCAGCATATTATATTTATTATTTTATTTAATTTAATGAAGAATTTTAATCACATTAATTATTGTTTATATGAAAATTGACTTTTTCACTAATTAAATTAAGTAATTTCAATTCAATTAGTTATAAAAGTATATCAAACTCATAGATAAATTAACTTATTTAAATTTAACTGTATTAAATTTAATAAACTTATGCATAAAATAAATCAATGGAATTTTAATTAAGTTTTTGATCTATTAAAGTACAAAATTAAATAATACTCCCTCCGTTTCATAATATAAGGCGTTTTGGATAAAAATTTTAGTTTCATAATATAAGTCGTTTTCGAGTTTTAATGTAAATTATATATTACTTTAATATTTTATGATTATTTATATTATGCAGTCTCTTTTATGATTGGTTAAACTTTTAAAAAGTAGATCTTCTTAATCGGCGTGCTTTTACCTAAACTGACTTATATTATGAAACGGAGGGAGTATGATATTAGAATTAATTTCATGTTTTCTTTTAATATATATATATATATATATAGGATTAATGACAATGAATATTAGTTAAATTTACGATTATTTTAAGATAAATATAAGATACTAAATCAACATTACTTTTCGTTTACTTAAAAATATTTAAAAGATAAAAATTTTGTTTTAAGGTAAGTAATTGTAAATAAGTGTTAAACAATGTAATTAAAACTAAATAAAAGACAAAAAACTAGAATGAATTATTTATTCGAGAATTAGAGAGATACGTCCAAATGATTAGAAAACAAACACCAAAAGATGATTTAACAAATTATTTAATCCATGTAAATTGTTCTAACTAACAAATTATGGATGAAAAAACCCGTACGTTATGCGGGTATTAGCCTAGTTACTTTAAAATCAAATTAACAACAACCACACAGCCACTTGGATCATTGATAGATTATAATATTTTGCTAACATTGATTAGCGATGGATTAGCTATAGCTTTACCTTTTTAATAATTGATAAAGATAATTCGTTGTTAAATTTAGTAATAAATTAGTTGATATCTAGTACTTATGTATCTAATTAACAATGACTCAATCTTAATTTTTTTTAATATTTATTAATTTGAGAGGAAAATTGAAATGTAATTATTTTCAAACATGCATGCGTGGAGATTCAAACAAAGAAATGGTCATTGATGCCTCGAAAACTCATGTATCATGCATGCATGCGTGGTTTTGTTTTGCTCTCTTTTTGTTTTCCCTTTTGCTGCCGTAAATGTGTACAGGAGGAAACCGAAGTAGACATTGATGGAGATAGAAACAATGGGAATTACATATACAATAAGGGCAAATTTTAGTTTTGAGGAGTGACAAAAGTGGTGGCTTCGTCTTCAAAGGGTCGTCAGTTTGTCTGCATCATCTTTGAAAGAGTTTCGTGAATACAAGCTCTTCTTATTAATAACTAAGAGGTTCTATCCCTAAACTTGTACATCCTTGCAGGTGAGGAACCAAAACATTTTATATGATCTCTTCCCAAGTGTCATTCGAACCGGCGACCTCTAGAATTTGTTTGAGAGTCTTTACCAGATGAACTATTGACACTTGGTGAATGCAAACTCTTCACCCCATCTAACTGCAAACATTAATCATATATGTTGCATAAGCCAAACAGATTTACGCGATCAAGTTAGGAAATGATCAATACCTCTCTAGGGTTTCTTGATGTTTAGCCAAAAAAGCTCATCGTACTTTATTTGAAGATCAGAAAAATTGAGTATTCAAGTGATGAGTATAGACATTAATTGTTCTACAAGGTAAACATGTAACATTTTTGAAAACATTTGAATTAAAAAAATATAACATAAAAAGTTCTGAAAAGTTATCAAGGAAATTATTATATTATTGGAATCCTAATTATATAAAAAAAACACTTGCGAAATAAACTTACAATTGGGATTTCAAATTAATAATTTTATTTTCCCATTTTCTTGAGATTGGAACTGGATATTGTTGTCACATGCACGTATCAGAAGAAATGTGATGTCCATATCTTACCGTGGACCATCTATTTTCGGCCGGTGTAAATTTTACAAAACCTTTCATCTTTTTTTTTTTTTTGATAAAAGAAATAAAATATTATATAGGGATTTACAGATGTGAATTCTAATAAGCTTATAGTGCATGAGCACTCCCCGCACATTGGACCCTAGTTTTAATAAATTTAGTTGAAAAAAAGACAAAAAATTTTTGGACCCTGTGCATGAGCACTCCCCGCACATGGTAGAGCCGACACTGATTTGAATAAGCTTATCGTTGGGATTTAGAACTGAAACTTTTTTACACTTTCCCATTTTTTGAGATAGGAACTGGATATTGTTGTCATATGCACGTATCAAAATAAAAAATTTGATGTCGATGTGATTCATGTGAACTATTCTGAGCTGGAGAATTGATTATTCACAATTAATGATAATAATGTTCGAGATATGGGGATTGATTTTCACGTTACCGTCTTCTTTGTGCCACTACGGTCTGACTGCAGGAAATCAATTTTAGAGAGCATCGAAACAGTAAAATTGATTTATCATGTTAATTTTTCCAATTAAGAAGATCTTTTTTTTTATTATTAATTTCTCTGATTTTTTGTAACATTTATTTCATTCACTGATATTAAATCAGATACAAGAATTTTTACATCGAAATTACAACAACATTATGCAAGATTATCTAAAGGAACACATACATAACTCTAACGATGAAAACATGATTTTACACGATGGTTTCAAACCTAAACCTTACAGCCTCACCCCGAGTCGCCTCGTCTCGTTTTCTATGCTTTCCCTCCACACCGAGAAGCCAAGCGCCAAAAAAGGAGGAGGAACAGCCACATGTTGCCAAGAGCCCATGCCAGAGACGTCATTTCCAAGGTGAGGACTTATTGCATGATTTTCGTTCTACTATGTTGTAGCACTAAGGCCAAGAAGAGGTTACTAGATTCTTTGAGTTTAGGTTGTTCGATGCTGAGAACCTGAGACATATTTGAGAATAATTGTTGTGTTGCGAGTGGTAAGAACATCAATAGAGGTCAATGAACTATAGAGAGGCAAGAAATCGACGAGTTGCTTAGCCAGAAGAAAAATAATAATTGTTCAATGATTGTTCAACATCATGGACGCATGAGGCTAAGTAGAGACGAATGATTGTTAAGAAATCATGCATGCTACGTTGTGTGAATTCGTTAGAAATTGTTTTGGGTATGAAATTTGTTAAGTTATTAGATTCTAGCCCATGTGGTGGTGGGCGGGTGGTTGGTGGGCCAGGGGTGTTTGGGTGAAAGTCCCTCCCCTCCGGTTTCGATTCCTCCTCCTGCTGTTATCAACATTATGTGGAAAGTCTGTCAGTTGGGCTTTGGCCCAATTAGTTTACATGGTAGTCAGAAATGCAGGCGGTCTGACTACCCCTGACACTTAGTCGGAAGGCACACCAAACTCGGGATAGGCAGAGTGGTAGCCCGAAGGGCCTAGCCGTTAAACCGGTGGACAAGTCCACTATGTAACACCTTGGTGCGTTCCTACCGGGGCTGACCGGATAGCCGATAGTGTATATAAAAAAAAAAAAAAGTTATTAGATTCTACGTTGCATGTAGCATATTTATTCTTAGAATTGTGACCCTGAACATTTAACCACAACTATCATTGAAATATATTCAATATTCTTTTTGTAGATTACCATTAAGGGTCATTAAAAAAAAAATTGATTGCATTCCAAAATTTTGACCGAAGATTTAATCCTCCTACAACCAAACAAAATGTTTCCTTAATAACATGTTTTCAATAATAAAAAAGCACAATTTTTAGTTATAAGATAAAAAAAAATGATAGTACATTATTGTAATCCATTCGTTTCGTAAAACAAATGTTGTTCTAGCTAGACAAGTTTTTTATTTGTTGTCTCTTGTAAATAAGAAGGATAAAATTTATCTTTTAAACAGTTTATATTGAATTTAAAGACACTTTTTACGAAACAATAACATAATAACAAAATTATAACTTTTTCCTACCACAAATAATTTTAAAAGAAACAATTCTGTGAAGACAAATATAGAAGATAAGCATAAAATATGATATTTATAAGCTAAAAATAACATTTATTTTGAAAGAAAAGAAACATAACAGTTAGTACAAACATAGTATGTTGTACTAGCGGCTTGTTAAATTGTAGCGCAAATTTGAATCTCTAATAAGATGTATAAGCTATCAATGAAAGGAAAAAAAAACATCTTTTTCAATATGAAGAATAATAATCAAAATCTTTTCTGAAAATTTATTTGTAAACATTTTTCCTCCCGATTGGGCTACCAATCATAGTGTAACTTTTTAGCCCAATCGGGAGGAAAAATGTTTACAAATAAATTTTGAATATGTTTATCGCAAAAAATGTACATTTAAATCCAAAAAAATGGAAGAGCTCAAAGGTACATTTAAATCCAAAAATATTTCTTATTTTATTACAAATAAAAGAAACAATAAATGGAAGAGCTCTGTACTGTTTTAATTACGTTATCCTGTTTCCCATTTTTTGTCTTTATATTCCTTTGATCTCTTGTAAAATTAAAATAAATGCATGTTAGGTGGAAGAAATATAACTCTCTGTGTGTGTGTGGTTATGCTTGATGCAAGTGGCTTTAAGCATGTGACAGTGCTTAAGCACACATACAAGTTAGTTCAAGGCCAGATCTTCTAAGCTTAGAAATTACACATTTGGTAAAGAAAATTGATATACACATATTGTGTTGAGCATCATGTCTCCCTCAAGGTAATGATTATTTTTTTCGATTTTTAAGTAAAACAGGATGATTCATTTCTTGTAATTGTAACTTTGTAACTGTCTCATTCTTTCTTCTTGTTTTTTTTTAATAGAAATCTTTTAGAACTGAAATGAGTAGATTAGATTGTAATAATCTTTTTGTTTGATATAATAAAGCTTACACTAAAAGCATTAAAATGCTTAACCTTATACCATTGTACATGTGTTTATGAAATTGTAATCCTAATTTTGAATTTTATCTGATTAAATAACATTGATGTATACGTTAGGAACTCTTTGGTGGACGCACTTAGTATGAAAGGAGGAACAGGAGACCATAGTTACGCTACTAATTCACATTATCAGGTACTTAAACATTCTATGACGAATTGTGATGATATAAGGAAATAAGATAGTATGCTACACGAAGTATAACAGAATACATGACTACACATGCCAAGTTTAAAAATATACAACCAACTACACGAACTAAATATATTGCATGCCCACATATACCAACTATATGAAGATAATATAAAGACATATAGTCAACATCACGAACATTTTATTCCGGTACACTAATCATCAAAATCCGGCATTGACCATCGTTGACCGGTATTGACCAACAAAAATATTCAAAAATATATATTTTTATTTATTTTAAATAGAATTATTCTACAGAATCGGTTATGGTGTTGTATAATTAAAAAAAAACACATTCTATATTTTTAAAATATATATATTTTGTATGATAATAATAATTAGTTAATTTTTTCAATTTCAAAACTAAACTAAAAGCGAAATATATAAAATTCTATTACAAAAAATTGAGTATATGACTCTTTAGTCTAGGCCTGGGCGTTCGGTCAGTTCCGATCAAACCGAGATATTCGGTTTGCGGCACCGAATTTTAGAAGGGAAGTAAACCGATCGGTAAGATTATTTTGGGATTTCGGAATTCGGGTTACTCGGTTCGGTAATCGGTTACCGATCGGTTTATTTGGTTTAGGGGAACAAGATATAAAAACTAAAAACCCTAACCTAATTCATTTCATCAATACTATATTACTATCTAATCTCTTTGGCGAGCCTCCTTCCACTCTCCTCTCTCCTTTTACGATCTTGTTCTTCTTTCTTCTTCTCCTTCCTTCTTTTCTATATACTCTTCTGCATCTTGATCTTCTTCGTTTTCGTCTTTCTCCTCATCTTCTCTTTGTTTTTTCAAAATCATAAGTTTTGATAGGCACTCAACAACGACAACTACTACCAAGAATCTCCCTCAACCAATCCGCCGTCGATGAACTTACTGACATAAGGTTCGTTTTCGGATCTAAGTATTGGTGTTAGTTGATTGTTTTCGTAAGTCTCGTTTTTTCGATTTCTAGATCCGAGACTTCGTGATTATTTCGACTGATTTTAGTTGTTTTCTTTCTTGTTTCAGTGATATTGCGAGAGACAGACTCATCCTCGTTCAACACAACCTCGATTAAAGCTAGAATAAGACAGTCGGAGCTTGCCGTCGCTGAGACCGCCGCACACAGTCGATTATGCAGGCACACTTATTTTTGTCAAAACCCTAATATTTTATTGGGTTGGGCTATAAACTGTATGTTGGGTTTTTGTTAAATGTATATTGGGCTTTTTATCTAATTTGTAATGGTTTTTTTAATTGGATTTGTAATAGTGCAAATATCTTTTTTTTTAACAAGTTAACCGAAATTGAAACCGATTAAACCGAAGAAATAAAATTCGGTTCAATTTCGGAACATAAATTTTAGCCAAAAACCGACCCGAACAAACCGATTTCCGAACTGACCCGAACCGAATTTTAATTCGGGTCAATTCGGTGGAATTTTTTGAAAACCGAATTTTCCCCAAACCGAATAACCCGACTAAACCGAACGCCCAGGACTACTTTAGTCTAAATTTTGTATGGTAAAAAAAATATAAAGTTTTTTGCTAAAATCAAAATCATAATACATAAAAAAGATATATAAAATTTTTTATATACTCTCTAGTCTAAATAAAAATAAATTTTTTGCATATTTTTACTGGTCAATGCCGGTCAACGATGGTCAACGCCGGATTTCGACGATTGGTGTACCGGAATAAGATGTTCGTGATGTTGACTATATGTCGTCATATAGTTGGTATATGTGGGCATGCAATATATTTAGTTCGTGTAGTTGATTATACATTTCTAAACTTGGCATGTGTAGCCATGTATTCCGTTATACTTCGTGTAGCTGAATATATTTTTTCCATGATATAATAGCGACTTATATTTTGATTCACATTTTTTGTTAAACTAATATATAGTAAATTAAAGTATGACAACTTATGATCTTCTTGGTATTTTAAACAGAGAAGTGTTTTCTTTGAGATACAACCTATGGTCATAGAAAGCGTAAGAGAAATGCTAGTGAATGTTGATTTTCCTGGTTGCATCAAAGTGGTAGACTTGGGTTGTTCTACTGGACAAAACACGGTGTTGGCCATGTCCGCGATCGCCTACACGATCTTAGAGTCGTACCAACAAATGAGTAAGAACCCACCAGAAATCGACTGTTATTTGAACGATCTTCCAGAGAACGATTTCAATACCACCTTCAAGTTGATTCCTTCTTTCCAAGAGAAGCTGAAAAGGGAGGCTAAAGGAAAGTGCTTTGTCTCGGGAGTCCCCGGTTCTTTTTACAGAAGGCTATTACCAAGAAAGTCTCTCCATTTTGTTCATTCAGCTTTTAGTATCCATTGGCTTTCTAAAATTCCAAATGGCCTTGAGAGCAACACTAAAAGCATTCATATTAAATATCCATACCCTCCAAATGTCTACAAGAGTTATTTAAATCAGTTCAAGAATGATTTTTCATGTTTCTTAAAAATGCGTTCAGAAGAGACAGTGCATAATGGACATATGGTTCTAACGTTCGTGGGAAGAAAGGTTTCGGACACTTTATCGAAAGACTGTTTCCAAGTTTGGTCATTGTTATCTGATTGCCTCCTCGATCTAGCCTCAGAGGTACATACTCAATTACCATCTTCTTCTTTTTTATTTTTAAACATTCCTCTACCGAGTAATAAATTGTTGGGAGAAATAATGTGAGTGTAGGGGTTTGTGAATAAATCAGTGATGGAATCGTTTAACATGCCATTCTACAATCCAAATGAAGAAGAGGTGAGGGAAGTTATCTTAAAGGAAGGTTCCTTCGATATCAACAAGATCGAGAAATTTGACCATGTTGTCCCGTATAAAATTGACCGTGAGGAAGAAGATGAGGACCAATCACTTCGGTTGGAAGCTGGGCAAGATGCATCACCGAACCATTGCTCGTTGCTTATTTTGGAGATGCAATTATCGAACCGGTGTTCAACAAGTACGCACACTATATGGCCAAGTACTTAAGCGTCTCAAACCATCGCCCTAATATGACACTCGTCATCGTAATTTCCTTGACTAGGAAATAAACTTCATTGTTTTGTATGTGGGACGAGCAATTTTAACTCAGTTATTCGTGGATTCTAGGAGAAGAGTTACATGTAAAAACTACACGGCCTATTCTACTATTTTTGGGGCCATCGTCAGATCGGTATGATGCACTCGAATGCTTTCACTTACTTTTCGTATACACATTTACTTTCCTAATTGTCTGACTATTGGTTACCAAACGAATCCTCAAATCTGAAGAGTTCGCCCTCGCTAGTTTTTTTTTAACTAAATATTCCAAGGCAGTCCAAATGCAGCACCAGAGCTTCTGGTTATTACCTTACATTTTTATGAACATTGCTCTTCCTATATAGTTGTATATGAAAAATTCACAAATAAATGTTTTGAATGCAATTTGTGTTGTTAAAGACTTTCTTTACCTATTTGATTGAATCGACACGAAGATGGAATACATACATGTTTTAAAGTAAGTTTGCTCTCAAGAGCAATTTCAACTGCAGAATCACACATAACACACTTTATACAAATTAAAATTTGCAGGAGAAACGTGAAGGAGATTATTGTAAACCTATCTCCGTCTATGTGGGTCACAATTCATCACAGCCAGACGCTAATAGATGTCGTCTCCTCTTAGCTTTTCAAGGATGATCTTCTCTTGCTTTGCGTCTGTTTGTTTCTTTATGTTAGGGAATACAAATACAAAACTTCAAGTCGCAATGCTCCAGAAGATGAATCTAAGTAATCAAAGGCAGACTTTGTACATATATAGGAACAAAAGTTAGGTAATGCCGAAAAAGGATACATTCCTGATCTGGTTCTTCGGAGAAATTTGAGTGAAGCGCATTCCCCATACTGTCTACAATGGCTGAAATGGTCATCGATGATTCAATGCATAGGATTGCTGTTATGGCATCCAATCGCGTGACCTCATTTCTGAACATAAGCCTTGCATGAGCTGTGTGACACCATAATAACATTAATATCCTTTTTCCTGTGTTTGGAGTATTTTGATTAATAACAGAAGAAGTACCTTGAGCCAAACGTATCAAGCTTTCCAACATCCGCACGGTTGTTCTTGCTACAGTTCAGAGTAAAATCAAATTACATGAAAGATATAACCATGGTGGGATCTATCTTAGTTGATATTGTTGTACCCACCAAGCCAGTCCTAAAATTCCTTTCAGCAAGGCTATGCTTAATGAGAATTCCCATGCGACCTAAGGATTTTATAGACAAGAGTCCAAGACAACAGAAGAGCCGATCCCAGCCACTTCGCCTAAAGTAATCATTTAAAATAGATCCTATAATATCTTGGGTTTGCAGAGAATTCTGCTATATATATCAGGAATAAGAAGTCTCAGCCATGAAATGATAGGATTCAAAGCTGGTCCACTATCATCAGCTTCCCTCACCCCATATTAATACAAAATTAGCATTTGCAAAAAAAATGAAGTATTCTTAGGATATACCTGCATTATGAGTTGAAGATCTTCTTTGGAGTCGATAATAACTTGAAATAATTTCTTCTGCTTCCTTTGATAGGACAGGCCTGAAGTTTCTTTTCACAAACTGAATGTATCTGCATAGGTCAGGATATAAGCAGTTAATAGCAACCATGAATGTATTATCAGCTAAGATCAAGCACATCTGTCATCTCGGACTACTGTGCAAGGAATAATTGTAACTCTTCTAGATTATGGATCTCATACTGCCACAAAAGAAAAAAAAAATTATAGATCTCACTATCTGTGTACACACATGATACCTTTGAAGCATCGGTAGTGGCCAAATAGTTGTCAGATCATCGACATCTCTGCCTTGCTCTATTTGCACCTGGGTTGATTTCATCAAATTATTTTTAGTCACATAAGTTATATAATTTGTCACAAATACTCTTCTTAATAAGGCTCATTATGCAACACAATATAAGATTCTTTAAAGAAACATACCTCGGCAAGGATGTGAGAGGATACAACTGCATCCCATTCGGGATTTTTTGTATCTAAGAGAACAAGTACAATGTCAAACCTGCTCAATAATGGACCGGAAAGTGCAGTATTGACAGAAAGAGCTAGATTCAGTTAAGGACTTTCTGAAGAAAAATATCAAACCAAGTACACCAAATAAATGATGATTGAAGGAGGAAATGTATTTCTTAAGTGACAACATCAACTTGAATTTGAAAAACAGAATGCATGCATGTATGTAGGCGAAAGCTTGTTTGGGGACTAATATATCTGAAGTGGATACATTGATCGGGATCATATTGTCCTTTAGGATTTGTTGCACCGAAGACGATTGTCTTTGTGCTAAGAGTTGTTACAAGGCCAGCCTATTGGAAAAGGCAAAATTAGACACAGAAAAACACAGAAACAAAATAAGGCATATACATGAAATTATATAGAGTGGTTTGTTTACCTTGGCAACACTTATACTTTGTTGCTCCATTGCTTCATGTATGGTTGCTCTGTCATGCTCCCTCATGCTTCCAGAAACAAAAAAAGCACTTCAGTTGTAGGCAACTCTCTCAAAGGAAGAAGCAATAGAACAAACTCGATGCAACAATAGACGATATCAATTAAAAGGAAAATTTCCTAAAATGTTTGTCAAGTTAACTGACCACTTTTTACAAATAAGAGGCAAGAAATTCCCAAGACCACAAGAATACTTTATGTTCATCGAAGATAAAAATTTTCAAGCAGATATAACACTACAGAATAATGGAAAATATTCTTATAACAGATGTTTCTCCCCCACTGGCATTTGGAGACTACCTATCAAATTCATCAATACAGCAAAGTCCACCATCTGCAAGAACAAGGGCCCCAGCTTCCAACATCCACTCTGCAAACAAATTAATAAGACTAAATAGAAAGAGAAAAAAAGAGTTACACAACAAAAAGGTTAGACAAAAGATTGGAGTGCTTACCTCCATCCTTCACTGCAGTTACAGTCAATCCAGCACTTGTGCTTCCTAGTCCCGTTGTGATTACAGCTCTGTTGCTTAGTTTTGCAGCAAACTTCAAGAACTGCGATTTTCCAGTGCCTGTCAGATATTAACAATATAAATAGCAGGTCTGCATGAAAGTACACTCCCATATAGAATGCAATCAGCTAGTAACAAAAAAACATACACGACCCTTTTATTTCCTTAAAAACACATGCAAGGTTTATTCTAGTGTAAAATCAATTTAGTTCAGGCGAAAAATTTGGAAATCCAACACACATTAGGGGGCATTCATATATAAGAAAAATAATACTCAGTGATTGACAACAACCTGGATCGCCAATGAGAAGCAAGTGAGATTCTCCCCGTACTTTTGTACCAGAAGCATCAACATGTTGCACACCTCCAATGAGTGTCAAGGCAACTGCATAAAAATCTTGTTAGACAACTCAATGAGAAGAGATGTTGACAAAAAAACTATGCATACAGTATACCTGCAAGCTTAACAGTGAAGAGTCCGAAGACTTGGGGGCAGATACCTCGTAAGATAGCATTTCTCCCTGACTTAACCAAAACATTGAAGAATTTAGCATAAATTTTAACAAAAAATATATGTAAGGTCTTTTCTCGAAAAAATGATGGCAGGGGAATAGTTGTTCATAATAAATGCAACAAAACAGGCATAATCGTTTCCAAGTAACAGTAAGTTTTTACCTTTCAAAGGGGTATCTCTGAAGTGGCTCCAAAAGTTCTTGAACTTCTCGATCAAATCATCAGATATATTGATTTCTGATTTGAGCTCATTAGTTCTTCTGGATAGTGGCAGGATAACAGGTGAAAAGAAAGTAGAAAGTGTGTTAATGACTGAAACTGTAATGACCAAAAGTAACTAAGAATATGAGAAATAGAATCTCATCAAAGACCTCAATAATTATTCCAGGCGAACAAACAAGTACCATTTTTGTATACAACTTTTGGCCGGAGGTTGGTTTAGAATCCTTAATAAAACTGATTCGTAGGTCTCTATCAAATTTATCAAGCCATTTACCTGACATGATTGGCAATCAACATAGGTTCAAGGTCACAGCGAACATCTTTCAAGTCATGAGACCATTTTGAAGTCAAGATTCCAGAGACAACAACATCATCTGAATAAAGAGAAATATGTTATATCAGGAGGCGGAGCAGCTATGCTGGTACGTTTAGAATGGTTACACTGAGCCATAATATTGATGCAATTATGGATATGTAAGACACAGAATAAAAACAAACAAACAAAAGCCACGGTGTTTTACCTCCAGCTTTAACATTGTCAACAAGGTCATCTTTCAGGACGACTAGAATGGACCTTGGGATAACACCAACACCTAAAACCTGAGTATTTTCTTGGATTTTGATTTCTTGATAATCGTGGCGTGTTACTGTATCATCAACAGGATCAAAGTTTGTGCCTTCACAAGATTTTGACCGCTGTCACCAAGAGTTAAGAGATATCAAAGTGCTATAAGATCAGCTGTTTTATAGAAAATGAAATCTAAAGTCGCAGAATATAATAAGAAAGCAAAAGGGAATTCTTTTATAATGGAAGTGGAGAGTTTATCAACTTCAAATGTTAGGGAGAGATCCTAGTCTGAGTGTTTTGGCAAAACAGAAGACAGATATTAGCTAGTAAAAGAATGAAATGTGACAAACCTGAGAAGGACAAAAAGGCGGTTTCACAATAGAGTTGATTGATTCCAACTCAGGGAAAATAGGAAACCTATATAAGAAACCAACTCAGTCAGCCATACTACGAGAACAAGAGATGACAAATACATATCACAAGTTCCAACCACAAGACAGAATCATACATGTGCTTGCATTTTCGGCATCGATACATCCTTTCTCCTTCATACATTTTAACAGCCCCCGATCGAATAACCGTACCTTTCAACATCAACAGAATCCCTCGGTGCCTTACTCTAACCCGGCCAATACTCGGGAAAGTCTCTGTGTCAAAATCAAAATTAGCTAAGAGAAGCATAATAAGCAAGAGTCATGTAAATAGACATATAGAGTCACACACACACACACCAGGGCTTCGTTCTAGAGGAGATCCACTAGTGTTTATACGAACATGTATAAATCTCTTCTCAATCCCAATCTTCTTCTCAAATTTCTTCATATGCTCCAACGCAATTTTCTACACCCAAAAGCTAATTGAAATCACTCACTATTTCATATAATCAAATTTGGGGAGAAATTGAGTACATACGTGTGCTAAAATGGCTGAATCGTTGAATTGACGAAGAAACTGTTCGGGATTTGAGAAAACAAGATGCGCTAGAGAAGGATTATCGTCAACGAGTTCTGCGTACTCGATGAAGAGAGGGTAGTGGAGTTTGGGATCGGAAGAGAGAGAGATTTCGCGGAGCTGATCGGAATAGTGCTTTGCCAGAAACTCCGTCATGGATTCAATGTGCTCCGCCGTCTGTGTCGGCGATTCCATTTCCACCATTGACGCCGGCGAAGGAGAAAGGTGGAGGATTTTGGCGGGAAATGAATGAATACGCCAATTTCTAGGTTCGCCTTAACATAAGAGGGTTTGGGCATTCGGTTTGGAAAAATTTATACCGATTAAACCGAATAAAATTTTGGTTCGGTTCGTATGTGGTATAATTTGATTCGGTTTAAGGTAACTAATGGGAACTAAATTAAAATCTTTCTTTTTGTAACAAACCCTTCAATTTTTAAGCATTTTTCTGTTTGGTAAATTTCGGTTTTGCATGGTACAATCAAAAGAAAGTGTAGAAGTTGGGAACTTTTTGCAACAGATTGGTTTACATGTACCAAACCAAACTGAATCGAAAATTGGGCGAGCTTTGGTTTGGTTTGGCCTATTCGATACTGTTAACCGAAGAATTTATAACGTTAAAACTCCAAAACACTGGTGATGTAGATGAATGAAAGAGAGCAAATGGAGATTTAAACAAATAAATGATCATTGTTGCCGGGAAAACTCATCTATGCGTGGTTTTGTTTTGTTCTTTTTTTCTTTCTGTTGCTGCCGTAAATGCGTAAACGGAGATCGAAACAATGGGAATTACATATACAGTAAGGGCACATTTAATGGTGAGGAGGGACAAGGGTCGAGTGTTCGGCTTCAAGGGTCTCTCTGTCTGCATCATCTTTTGAAGAGTTTCGCGAATGCAAGCTCTTCACTCCATTTAACTGCAACAGTAACCATATATAGAATGTGTTAAACAGATTTGAACACTTTTGTATTCATGAGAAAACTAATGTGCTAATCAACAACTATAGATGGTTCAACTAAAACCGGATACCTCTCTCAGGGTTTCCTGATGTTTAGCCAAAAGCTCATTGTACTTTATTTGAAGATCAGACTTCTCAGCTTGAAGCTTTTCATAGTCAGAGACAGAAGGACCACCTAGCTTTTGTTGAATGAATCTGAAGAAAATCACCGAAAAATAACCTGAGGAGCTGAGATTTCCAAAAACCAAAACTAAGAAAATCACATGGCGGGAATGCAAGATTTTACAGAACCGATTTGATATATACATATATATATATATATATATATATATATATATATATATATGTAAACAGTTAGCCTAATACGTAACAAATATTGTAAAACTGCATTCGTGAACTTGAACTTCGAGATCCATTTATTGAAGAATGCATAGGAGATTGGCAAGGAAGAAAAACAAATAAAATTATGAAAATATGATCTTCATATGTCAAATCTGACAGAAACTTTCTATCAATTTCTTAGTAAAAGTCCGTATATGGAGCCCATGAAATAACTTTCATATCAGGATTTAGTTCACAAAAGCTCTGGTCTAAAATACGTAAAGGCCTAGGATGGAAACCGCCATAAAAATGGTCAAAATTTTGTTTTAAATCCCTAACTTAACCAGTCCCTCATTTCAGCAGAACCTTGATTCAAGATTATAGGTCAATACACAAAGTATTTCTATAGAGAATCTACAATACTCTGCTAGAAAACTAATAAATAACCATTAATATCTAAAATGTGTGTCCAGAAACTTACTCTAAAGCAGAGGAAGGCTTGTCATTCTGCTCATACAGAGAAACCAGAACTACATTCAAAACCCAAGTCGTGTTCCACAACATACAAAAGAGAATAAAGCGAATTATTTGCAAGAACAGGTCAGATTATTCAATCAAAGAACTGTTGCAAAACGAAATTAAATACCTTTGGTAAGAGAATCAAGAACTCCACTGGACTCCAAATACTTCCTGAAAGCTTCCTTCTTCACCTCTTTCTCCTGATTCATGCAATCACAAAAAAAAAGGGTTCAAAGACTACACGTACAGATAAAAAAAACATAACTTGGCATCACCAGATCTAGTAAAGAAGCAAACTTGAAATCAGGAAAAAGAGAAATAGAAAAACAAACTTGTGAAACTACATTTCGATTTGGTTTCTCTCTTTCTTTCAGACGGGATAGAAAGTAATAATACCTCTTTGTACCGCATCATCTCCTTGTTCGACAAAACACAAAAGAAACTTTGATGTTTCTAATAACTGTATATTAAACCTTTTCTTTTTCCCAGCTGCATGACAAGCTTGGACCTATTTAGATCCTGCAAAGAGTAAAAGCTCTCTCTTTAACTAACAAAAATACTGTGAGCATCATATCAATCATGAAAAGAGATTAAAAGGACCAGCTTTGTTAAGACAAAACATAAACTTCATCACACTTTTAGTCATAACATAAGCAGAGCCAAGCTACAACTAAACCAAGCTCCCACTTCAGAACTTAGTTATCCAACTAATTGAGAACAGAAACTTTTTATTCTTCTCTCTTTGAAATCACATTTTCTGCATTCCAAACATATTTCTTCTCACCAGTTCATTAACCTCTCCCAAGTTCCAAAAACCATCCCACTCTACAGAACTTTTTCCAAAGTTTCGATTTTTCTTGAGCATAAAGCCAGAAATTGGCAAGAGATCTCAAAGATCCTATCTTTATCCTCCAAATCCAGTACAACGGATCCATGTATTTGTTTGTTTTGCACAAACAATTCAACCATAACACAAATTAGCGTAAACGTATCCATACATTTGTCAATAAAACTAAACCAAAGACATCTAAAATCGAATTAAAACCGAAAAATGGGATTTACCTTGTTCAGAGTGTTCCAAACAACGCCGGCGCAGACACAATTTGAGATCCAAAACTTGTGTCGGTCGGTGCTTCAGTTGTCTTCTTCTCTAAATTTTGCTAAAACCAACGTGTAATTCTATTTTCTATTGTGGGAAAATTCACCCAATACGATAATTTTGTTTTTTCCAAATAAAAATACATGAATTATTTTCGTTGATCGAAACAATACCTTTTTTTTTCTTTTTCTTATCGACAGATTTTAATCAAAATTCAAAAGAGTTACGAGAAATGTTGTTTACATAAGTGATATGATGCGGTTCGGCACAAACTTTTCGTACTAAGTTATCTGCTTTTATTAGACATGTCAATTAGGGTCAAAGCCCGTGGGCTAGCCCGGCCCAGCCCTGAAAAACAGCGGGTTCGGGCTTCAAAATATATGTCCAGAAAAAATCGGACCTTTCGGGCTAAGCCCGTTCGGACTAAAGGGTTCTTTGGGCTTAGGCCGGCCGGGCTCGGTCTAGCCCGAAAAGCCCTTTAAAAAATATTTTGATCTTTTTTTTGTTAATATTTTCGTTTAATTGTAAGATTTGTTGTAAAAAAAAATTTTGATAGAGTTGAAAACCCTAAACATAGTTTTTTTCGTTATGTATTACTATAAATCGAAAAAGCAAATATTAGCTCTACTACCTAATTTGAATTATTTTGATTTTATATTTTATCTAGTATAAGTTTAAACAATTTATTTGGATTATTTATTTGATTTTAACTCTCTTTTTAAAAAACTAAATTAGCGTTAGTGGTTATTTAAATTTTGATTGATTCGTTTCATATATAGATTTTTTTTAAGAGATATTATAAATTATAAGTTTGTTTTTTGTTGTCGGAAGAAAAGCCCAAAAAAGCCTGGAAAAGCCCTGTAGCCCTGTTAGGGCCGGGCCGGACTTTAAAATATAGGCTCGAAATTTTTACGGGCCGGGCTCAAATATGTACGGGTTTTGCGGGCTTCGGGCCGGGCCGGGCCGGGCCAGCCCGATTGACATGCCTAGCTTTTATATTTGCACTTCGAGGGATTAGACATATTGAGAAACTTGAAAGTTCCTCTCTTAAACTCTACCTCATTTAATAAATACAAGCTATTTACATAAATTGTATTATTTGAAATTAATTTAAAATTTATTCTAATAAAATTAATGCATTTAATCTATATACATTTTTGAAGTACAAATATGAAATAATTCCTAGAGTTGCCACTTATTTACAAGAGAATGTCATTGTCATAAATGTTTATCCGTTAATTAATTGATTTTCTTTCTAAATTGGATTAATTGTTAATTTCCTAAAACCTATCTACCTAATTTAAACATTAATATATGAGTCTTCTTTAACTTTTATATGATCTTAGGACGGGTTTAAGTCGATATTAATAGGGGACAGTATACTACGGGTGAAATCTTAGAATTAAAAATAAAAATATAATTATATAATTTAAACACTAAACAAACCAAACAATATTAACAAAACAAACATAACTTAAAATTTAAAGTTTGTAGTTTAAAAAAATCGACCCGCAATGTACCGGAGTAAATTTTTTAGATACAAAATATTATCAAATTATCATAATAGTCCATGATTATAAATGTTTATCAATATTAACACTATATCACTTCTACACCTACAAATCTTTTAAGTACATCAATACAAATTAACACAGTTAGGTAACAAATACAACAACTCAAAAAAAATATTTATATATTTCAAACTATATTAATTATAATATAAAATAAATACATGAGAAATATTTTTTTTAAATTATGGATTTAAAATCTAATAAATTATTATATAAATAATCAATAAGACAATAGGCCGATTGGTAACTACTTACTTTTTTGGCTTTTTACTGTAAAGACTTTTGCTATAGACACTTTGGCTGCAGAGACTTTTGCTGTAAAGACTTTTAATGTAAAAAATTTATAACATATTAGTAAAACATGTACTGTAGAAATTACGATTTTAAATAACTATCAAAAATATGAAGAAATGGATCCTAAAAAAGAAAAAAAAATTCATTGTAAATCAACTGAAATTTTCTTAAAATTAATTATTTAGTAAATTTTATGGGAGTTTTTATACACATGGGGAAAAAAATTATAAAAACAATAGGCTTTTGTTTTTTTTTTATTTCTAAAGTGGGGGATTATGAGGCTTTAAAAAAAAGTTGAAAACAAGGAATAGAAAAAAAAAACTTTAAAGGCTTTAAGGTTAGTTGAAGTCAAAAAAGCTTAGGGGGTGATTGGATAAGGATTTTAAGACTTTAAAAGCTTTTTAAAGTTTTAAAAGTTTTTTTTTCCCAATCAAGCTTTTTTTGTTTTAATAAATTTTAAAGCTTTCAATTTTTTTTAAAAGTCACGTAAATGAGACTTTAGAAATAAATAAATTAAAAACTTATAGTTTTTTTCTTTTTCTTTTTCTCATATGTATTTAAACCCTTATAACATTCACAAATAAATTAATTTTGAAAATTTTGAGTTGATTACAATTAAATTTTTTTTCTTGTTTTTTTAAGATCCATTTTTCCACATATTTGGTAGTTATTTAAAATCGTAATTTTTACAGTCATAGTCTTTACCAATCGGTTATAAAATTTATACAGTCAAAGTCTTTACAGCAAAAGTTTCTACAGCGAAAGTTCTTACAGTCAAAGTCTCTACAGCGAGAATTAATAGTCGTTACCAATCGGCCCCTTAATTAGAGAAAAACAAACTTTGAGAACGGTTAAAAAAATTTCTAAAGTTTTAAAAGTTTTAACCAATCAGCCCCAATATAATTTGTTGAGTTTGTCTCTTTAGCGTTTTTCAAATATTAATATTTGAATTTAAATATAACAAATATTATTATAGAAAAATTATCTCTGGGTCTGAAATGGTTTTCACTGGATCCGGCTTTTGAGAAATTGTTTGAGCCATCATCCTTCTTAAGTTTCCGCGATTCGCTTTCATTGGACCGGATATGAAGATTGTTTTCTCGAAAAGGGTTGTCGGTTGACGGCTTCGGTAGTCGAGGACTTAAATCTGCATTAGCCATTTTTCTAGGCATAAATTCGAGAATGAGATGTCAGGCGAGTCGTCGGATCGGATAGGATCGGAGACGGAAACTGGATACTTTGGTCAATGATCCCGAACCTGTTGACATGGTCGCAAAGTAGTAGGCTTTGTATTCGCCGGTTCTAGTTGTTAGGATTCGTTGCTTCCGGCCACCATCCAGATTGTCTAACCTCCTCCTCCTTGTCGGCGCAGACAATTTTCGTTTTCGTTTGTAATTGTGTATGCTTGTAAAATACATATCTTATTAAGCCTAAATTGGCGAATGTCATTTATAAAAAATAAATTCTATTAAAAGAAAAGAAAAATAATCTAAATAATAATAAGTGTTTGTATTGAAACTTTGAAGAGTTTGATCACCTCGAAACCATATTTGGATAATATACAATCTCTTTTGTGTTGTTCAGGACCGCATCACACAGACGGTGATTGGAGCAGGTGAGCAGCAAAGAGGTCTTTATTTTTTTCGGGGGGTGACAGAGGTGGCAGTGACACGAGCTTTGGATCAGCAACCTAAGGATGTGTGGCATTGTCGGTTAGGACACCCTTCAGACACGACCATGGAGATGTTGCAGTTATCAAGTTTGAGTAGAAATAGTGATAGTTTTGTTTCCAAGAATTGTGAGGTTTGTATTCGTTCAAAACAAACACGGGATTCTTTTCCTTTGAACATTAATAAAACTTCGAAAGTTTTTGAGTTAGTTCATTGTGATTTATGGGGTCCGTATCGAACAACGTCTCTTTGTGGATCAAGATTCTTTCTCACAATTGTCGATGATTTTTCACGTGCTGTGTGGAAGTCGAAACTAACACAATCGAGATTTGTCTAGGGTTTTATTTTAGGGATACGATATTCGTGAATTCTCAAAGAACAACAGAAACGATTTGTAACCAAAGATGGTGTTCTTGATATTATTGATGAAAAGAGTATTTTTGATCGTACAAGAGTTTGATCATAAAAGAAAAAGGTGTTTGTGCTGTGAGAGCTTTGCGTAGTGTAGATTCTAGAGCGATATTGTCTGCCCTCTCGTTTGAGCCTTGAATCTCTTTATATAGGGATGATAAACCGCCTCTCCAGCGATATTCTCGGAAGATTTCCATTTATCTTGAAGTCGGCCAGGATATCGTGGATTAGAACAATTTCCTTATTCTTCGGAGTTTTCGGAAGATTTCCTGATTTGAGTTGATCCTTCGCGATTCTTCCTTATCATTTCCGAGTTTATCGGAAATGATCCTTCTTTTTCGGAAATGATAACTTGCTTGGAAATGATACCTTTTAAAGAAGAATATTTACTAAGTCTTTGCTTCGGGTGATGATGAAGACTTCGCCTCGGAGAACTTGTGCAACCGGCTCGGGGACAAGAGAGGCATGGCCTAGGCTCCCGAGGAAAAGCGGCTCGGGTTCGCGGAAAGAGCCAGCTCGGGGGTCTCGACACGAACCGGCTCGGTTTCCCGAAGTGAACCGGCTCGGGCACTTGAAGGGAGCCGGCTCGGGTTCACAAGCCTGCTGACAGACCCCGAGCAGACTACGGGTGTTCCCCGAGGCCACCAATGCAATGACCCGAGGTGAATGGCAATCTGACCCGAGGTGAATGACAGTCTGACCCGAGGTGAATGGCAGTTTGCACCGAGGTGTCTTCAGAAGTTCCCTGAGGCGTTCGAAGTTCGGCTCGGTGCTATGGGATGAAATCCGACCCCAACAGTTAGCCCCCCAGCTCGTTGGTTCGAAGAGCAACCGATGAGCTTCACGACTGTTAGTCCGAGCCGTTTTAAACTTTGTTCCGAGCCCATCCTTTGAAAATTTCGTGAAGTGTCCTGCGGTAATTAGTGTTCTTGACGATTCAAATCTCTTTGACGCTTCATCTTCTCCTAGCGCGTGTGACGGTTGAGATTCTACCTCGAGAAGTGGAAGAGTCTTCTGCTGATTCCCGAGACCCGTGCGGATGCGAAGTAGTTTAGTGTTGGTCACGCGCACCCGACGCGCCCGAGACTTGGGCGGATGCGAAATATTATTAAACTCGTGTGTACCCGACGCGCCGAAGCATTCTATAAATATCCGACTTTTGCTTCATTTT